AAACTGTATGCATATGCCCATTCTATATGTACACTTGATTCATACAAATTAAGTATAGCATGCACGTAATTTTCGTATTCCTAGGTTGTAATTAGACTGAAAAGTTCGGTATCGCATCTACGGTGGGAATTTCGTGAATTCACAATTGACCGATTTACGGTATCAAAATTAAAAATGACAATATTCCAGGATTTGTACTTCGAATTGTTTCCGTATCTAAGGTATATTTCATATATGGTCTTAGTGGACTTTTTTTTTTGAATATTTGCTGAAATAAAAATTAATTTTTAGAGGTGTTTTAAGTATTTGCATTGAACTCATCACACAAAGTCAAATTTGAGTTTAATAAGCTCACAATATTACAAATCAGCTAATATGTTTTAATTATTACTTATTAAAAGTCTTCTTTCTATGTATACAAAAACATCTATACATTTGAATGTATGTAAATAATTTAATTTATGTATGTATGGGTATAATATTATACGTGTATGTATTTTAATGAAATGAAATATGTATATACTCGCTCATACATATTATGTTAAGAGCTTATCAGCAATTTCTAATCCCTACGTACCTTTCAAAATTATACCAACTTTTGCTACATACCATACCATATATACAAATACATATGTTGAAGTAGACAATTGGTCTTTGCCTTATAGGGGCGTTCTAATCAGATCAGTTTTAAACAGCATTGTTCATATCGCAGACGAATTTAGAAAATGTCTCCTAAAGATTATTTGGGAAGCTTCTATATACTTTTTGTATGTCTCTTTGGAATAAATTCATTTCGGTTGGTATGGAGTTGTGAGCAACAAACGAATTGCTTTAAAACTTCTTCCGATATTGCGCGATATGATAACTATCGCGTTTATCATGTGGAATTAGCTACGCAACAACACGTTGCTTTATTCCAACAGCTGGAGGAAAAGAGTGACAGTTTCACCTTTTTTGGTCATGCACGGCATCCAAAACAGAAATTAACGATCATGGTGGCTGCGCATAAAGTAGCCGATTTTGCCGATTTACTTAAAACTTACGATGTTAAGTACGATGTGTTGGTAAGAAGTCATAGAAATAATAGACTCGACTTTGGTATATTAATTTTGGTTTTCTAATTACACTAAATAGAGTTATAATTTTCAAGAAATTATTGATCGAAACCTTGCAGAAGTTCTTCCAAAAGATATTGATCCGAAGAGTATGGACTGGAAACATTATTTTCATCTTGAAACTATGTATTCATGGATGAATTTATTGGTTCAAGAACATCCTAATGATTTGACAATTATAAATATTGGAGAAAGTGCCCAGGGCCTACCGATCAAAGGCATTAGTCTCAAGAAAAACAAAAATGACAACGCCACAACAATATTCGTAGAAAGTGGTATTCATGCACGAGAGTGGATAGCACCTGCAACAGCAAATTATGTCGTGAAAGAGCTTCTTTCATCAAATGACACAGAAGTTCAAAGATTTGCAAAAGGCTACAACTGGATTATCCTCCCTGTTGTCAATCCAGATGGTTATAAGTATACATTCGAAGGGGATCGCATGTGGCGTAAAAATCGTGAGCTCTTTGGAATTTGTCGTGGTGTAGATTTAAATAGGAATTTTCCATTTCATTGGAATTCTACTGGTTCTAGTGGTGATCCTTGTCGTTATGATTATTCAGGACCTTCCGCTGCGAGTGAAAAGGAAACCAACCAACTGATGAAATTCCTTCAAGAAAATTTGATAGTCAACAATATAAAAACTTTTATTTCGTTGCATTCATATTCACAAATGATTATGTTCCCTTATGGGCATACAGCAGATCACGTAGAAAACTATGATGATCTTTCAGCGATTGGAAGAAAGGCTAGTGAAAAGATAAAACAAGTAACCGGACGCATTTACAAAAGTGGTAGCATTTATGAAATCATATATCCATCAAGTGGTGGTTCAAAAGACTGGGCCCATGGTGAACTGAAAATGCCCATAACTTTTTCATTTGAATTGCGTGGACCGCCCGACAGTAAGGATTTATTTATTCTTCCGGCTGTAGAAATTGAATCTACTGCGCGGGAAGCATTCGTAGCAATATTGACGATTATAGAAGAATCTGAATCAAGAGGATATTATTCGTAAAATTATAGCGCACATAGATATATTTCAATACTCACTCTTTTATTAAAATCAAATTTTATAAATAAGGGTTGATACCCTTCAATGTATAAGCTTTCTTAAATGCAATAAATATATTTTGATTTACTTCGATCATTAACAAGTTGCTCTTAATAACTTTCATTTCGTTTTAATAAAGATAAATACCATAAAGATTTAAAAATATTTAGCTTTCGTCATCAACTCAACCCCTGCCTCGCGGAATTCTCGCTATGATGTATTAATACCTAAAGATTAATAGTAAAACACACGTTACATATACATATGTACATATATATAATACTTTTCCACAAAGATATTGTAACAAATTCCAGCTATGCTACTGCGTTTGGTAGTTGTGAATTTAGTTTAGTCAAAAGTTTATATGTACATAATTATTCCCAGCATACATAAAAATTTTTACATTTAGTATGTTTGTTGGATTAAGTAACATTCATGTTTTTCTAATTTATTAGAATTTAGTCTTCAATTGGCACTGTGGTGTTGCGCACAGCATTCATTTGTATACGGTTCTCCCATTCCACTATGAGCCGGTGCGATGAAGGTGCCTCCTCAGGCGGTAGATCACACAGCTGAGCCAATGACATAGCGGGGCGCATTGTGCAACACCCGTTCTTTTTCATATCGAAATCTGGACTAGGAGTTGCTCTAATAGAAGTTTTCATGTTAAAATTGGATATACAATAGAATGTATGTATTTTTGCCTACCTGGGGGAGATGCTATTATTTAATGATGTAGAGTAGCAGATTTCACTGACAGACTTCGCCGAGCGTAGTTGTCTGGGTCCGAGGCAATGTTCTACTTCGGAATCTTCGTCATCTGTTTCTTCATTGCTGTGAATATATATGTATTTGTTTAAATTATGAAATAAATACATCTTAAACTAAATTAGGCGACTTACTCGTTTTCAATTGACTCAAGCAAATCTGATGTAGATTGTCGAAATTTGTTACGTTTTTTCAGTTCATGCTCACGGGCTTGCAAGTCCTTTATCTCTTTCTGGATCTTCACCTCCGCTGGTACATAGCCTCGTCGAATTACTCTGCCTTCTGCATCCCGTTCGATATGTGGTGGAGTCATAGTGACAGTTGGTATGGTTATAGGATGAGTAAGGGCTTCAGGCGTCATTGCTGGATGTAATGCACTTGACACAACTGTTGGTGGTGTGATAGATGATGTGGAAGTATTTTTGCTAAACAAAGCATTTGCTGTTTTGGCATTTAATACAATTTGATTTGCTGTTGTATTATTGTTGCTTAGTTGTAATTTTCCTCGAGAAGCTATGAAACGCTGCATGACCCCTTTGTTTGCAGGATTCAAAGCGAAGAGACGTTGCCTATTAAGGACAGAAGGTGTAACCGGAACCGTGCTCGCGATCATCATTTGACGGGGTGGTTCTGGTGTAATTGTATAGCAATTCGGACCAATATAGCGTTGTTCTTTTGAAGGCTTTATCGGTCCTATGTAAAGAGGAGTAGCTGAGATGCCATTTATTGGACTTGGCGACGCTGATATTCCTGAGTCTTCGTCAATACATTCTTTACTGTTAATGCTATTTTTACTATGTGATAAGCATTCTATTTTTAAGGAATCTTCGCCATTATTCAATGACGAATGTGGTAAGGGACTGATTGATAGACTATTAGAGCTATCATTGTCATTATGATCGTTATTACTGTTAGCAATGTCACTTTCATTGTGTATTTCATATTCGTCTGTTGATATGAGGGAGCTGCTGGAAATAAGTTGGCGATGTTCTTCTTCGCGACGTACAACTTCTTTTATTTCTTCTTGAATGCGAATCAACGGATCCATTTTCTGTAAGTGATAACATAAGTAATAGGTATTTGTGATTAGTTTTTGTAACACACTAAGTCTCGAAAGATTCATTCTTCATATAACATATGACGGCAAAAAAATTATCAAAAAAAATCTTCGCTGCCAAAGAAAAACATTAAACATTCTACAAACGTATTAAATCATTATGTGTAGCAAAAGGAGAGTATGTGTACTAGTACATATATAATATTAGGCTTGAAAGGGATTACACATATTCATTCATCTTTTGGTTTCTAAATACCTGCCAACAAATTATTTGTCGGTATAAAATGAATGGCTCTTTTTATACTCTCGCAACCTGTTGCTACAGAGTATAATAGTTTTGTTCACCTAACGGTTGTTTGTATCACCTAAAATTAATCGAGTTAGATATAGGGTTATATATATATAAATGATCAGGATGAAGAGACGAGTTGAAACCCGGGTGACTGTCTGTCCGTCCGTCCGTCTGTCCGTCCGTCCGTCTGTCCGTCCGTCCGTGCAAGCTCTAACTTGAGTAAAAATTGAGATATCTTTATGAAACTTGGTAGACATGTTTCATGGTACCGTGAGACGGTTGGTATTGCAGATGGGCGTAATCGGACCACTGCCACGCCCACAAAACGCCATTAATCAAAAACAAATAACTTGCCATAACTAAGCTCCGCAATAAGATACAAGACTGTTATTTGGTACACAGGATCACATTTGGGAGGGGCATCTGCAGTTAAAATTTTTTTTTTTCACTTTTAGGTGAAAACCCATATCTTGAGATCTGCTTAAACGATTTCAACCAAATTCGGTGCATAACGTTCTTTTCATGTTTCTATGTCATAGTGCGAAAATGGGCGAAATCGGACTACAACCACGCTTACTTCCCATGTAACACCATTTTTAATTCCATCTGATTCTTTCACTTTCCACTATGCAAATCAGGTAACAATGATTATATCGGGGTAAAACTTTGCGTGAATAATGCAATTAAAGTATGCCACCTTGCGGCCAAAAATTGTCTAAATCGAACCAAAACTGTTCATACCCTTAAGTACTAAATATGTGGACCCCAGTGCCTATAGTTGACCTTCTACCGAAAATATCTGTCAATCCACAAAGAAATCTCAAACGAGTATACCATTTGACTTTGCGAGAGTATAAAATATTCGGTTACATCCGAACTTAGCCCTTCCTTACTTGTTTAAATTGCAATTATATCTATGCATACATACATACATATGTACATATTGTATATGTATTCCCATTGCGCGCATGATTAGACTACCTTTCAGTATCTTAAAATACATAAATATGTATGTGTTATCGTATCTACCTTCCATTTGGCTGAATTATTTTGGCTGATAATTATTGGTTCTTCCCTGAAAGCTTTTGTAATTAAGTAACAAGTAAGTTGTAAGTAAACGTGTACATACATACTTGTATATAGCTTTCATTCAAAAAAATGTATGTTTCCCAACACGCACAGACAGAGAATGTTAATGAATTATCATCATCAATATCAGATATGATATCAATAATGATATGATATCAGATATGATATGATATCAGATATGATATCAATAATGATAATTCATTAACATTCTCTGGCACAGGTTTCGCTTATACCTATACATACATATGCATATACGATGACTGTGTATATTTCTTATTGGATTTTATATTTAATTCGATTGATTGTTTGCCGAGTTTGCACAGGACTCCTTTTCGATGGCATTATTTTTACTATATTATACAATACCATTCGCTCACACACAACCATAAATAAGGAAGTATGATATTTTTTTAAATATTAATACAAATATTTAATATTTTCTATTAACAATTGAAGAAGTCGCGAGTAAATTTCCATGCATGAACAAATTTTATAGATTTATCGGTAATGTTGATCTTTTGACTACATGTAAGTGCATGCCTTCGTATTTCAATAAATTTTACCTTCTTTGTTAAATGAAATTTCATAATGAGGTCAAAACATTCGACTTAAAAGCATATTGTTTTTTACCTCTATTAATTAGCCTGCTTTCATATTTGCCAATAGTAATATTATCATAAATACTTAAAACTAAAACATATTACCTCATTTGTCGATTGCGATGGAAGGTTATATCGCAATTCATTTAGCGGTCACTTCAGTACACTGGAGGGGCTTTTTTAAATATTGCCACCTACTTTGTCTCGCCTACCGACGTGAATGCTGGCACTTGTTATGACGGTAATATGTTTTAACAATAATCTTTTAATTTTGTTTATGGTATTTTCGACATATAGACATACAAATATTTATTTTTGACTAATTGACATTCAAAGTACACTGGCAATATTCCCGGTCAAGTATGTATATGGCAAAAACAAAGACAACAACCATGTTCTGTGCTTCCCTAAATAATAAATACGTTATGCTGTGTAAAACTTTTATATATTGTCGATTCTTTTATCAGACAGATGAGAGCAACGACTCAAAACAAGTTTAGTCATATACAATATTTATATTAGATACCTATACATACATATACATATATATATATTTATAAACAACGAGAATATCTTTTGAAATGTGCAATAACATTTTGAAATGTTACCGTTTAAGTTATTGCACACGCCACAAATACCTTTTATATTTTATTATCATTACTATTTCGTACAAAATCCTTTTCAAAACCTTCTAATAGGCTACCGAAAAAAAACGAAATTTTGAAATGACTCATATGAACCACTTGCCATAATTGCTTCATTCGTCGATAATAATTACTACTACACGAACTTCCATTTTCGAAATATGTCAATATCTTATCAACTCGCTCAGTACATTTTTTCATTTTAAATTGCACATGCTTATTTTAGATAAACTTGTGCAAATACACCGACAAACCAATACCTATGTACATACATATGTGCCAGTGCTTTCGGAAAAAGTACATTCCTCATACAAACATTTGCTTTTTTTGCGAATTTTAACTTGCTTACCAACAACTCATTTATTGAACACTTTTGTTATCGGTAGAACCATAAAAACCAAAATAGCCATATTTGATAAGTTTCTAATTTGCGATAAGGTGACAATGTGTGAAAAGAGAAGTAATAATTGTTCCTAGTATACCTATGTATGTATGTATGTATATACATATGTAAAATACCTCAATACTATTTCGATATTCTCTTTAATAATGAAGGCTAAATTAGCTTTTTAGATGTATATGTATTGTATATATGTCCATAAAAGTACGTGATTTTAGATAAACATTATTACTACATTTCTTGATAAAAATGCAACAGTTTTAACGTCAATATATATAAATTTATTATAAGTATAGTATAGTATAAGTGTGATAAGCTTTCGAAGTCTGAAAACTCAAGAGTTGAGTTTCTTTTATTTGGCTTAGTTGCGTTAAACGACACCCTAAAATTAGAGATACCGTAACTATTACTAGTGTATAATGGTTGTGGTCTTTGTCTGGGCTAACTGTTGAGCATTAACACTGCATTCACAAAATGTTCAGCATTTGGCTGTTGCTGCATCCGACGGTTGCTGTTGTGGAGTGAAACTAACGTTTCAGCTTTGCTTTAATTAGATGTGAAAATATTTTCGTAACAGTACTTTTGTAGAGAAATAATGAGTGCTTCAAACAAGCATTCACCAAAGCCATTTAGTTTTACTTTCGTTGCTTTTAAATATACAATATATTCATGGAACAGGTACATACATACATGTGTATTACATTACCACATGGAACTTTGTATACATATATACATACATATATATGAATGAGATTTTGTTTAGGAATTGACAACGTACAATTGAATTGATTCCATAATACTTTTAGCATTAGTGAACTTATGTTGCCTTAGTACATCTGATAAGCAATATTACCTAAACACACAGCTAGGCACAAACTTGGTTTACTGAGTTCGATTGCTTCGATTAATTTTAAATAGAAAACAAAAAACGTCTTTGTTGAGAATGAATTTGGTTGTGGAAAAGCTAAAAATTCTTAAACAGGTGAAGCTTATCTTTAATATATAATATAATGTGTATATACATATGTATGTATATGCATATAACGTATTTTTATTTTTTATCAGATGTTATAGTATCCATGTATATGAGACAGTCTTTGAGCGTTTATTATACTTATTGCCAGTGTAAACGAGTTAAATATGCATGCAAAGAAATATGTGAAAATGTTAAATTTGGTTTACTACTTTTGGAAAATCCAAATAAATACACTTGATAGTTACTAATCAAATCTGAGTTTCGCTCAATGCTTGAAATAAAAATTGGAGACAGAATTTCAGTTCACAAATTATAAAAATGTGTTGTCATGGGCTTAAGTAATTGCAATGTTAACAAACTCTCTGTCACGTTTTATGTTCCCACTTTCTTATTTTCGATGATCTTGTGTCTTTTTTATATTTTGTTTTAGTTTACATTTTTTATAGGTCATGGACGAATAATAATTTCAACAATATTAATGATGCAGTCGTTACAGTATATACTGATGTTTATATGTATGGTAAAATGCGCAATACATATATCACTGTACTTTTTTTGCCTGCTCGTTTGTAAATTATAGGAAGTTAATATTGTTGATAAATCGCTTTAGTAACAAGTTTAAATAATACATAGCATATGCATATATACTTGTACATATGTTATTAAAATAGTTCAAAGGTGATTGAACTCCTTCAGACCGTTGCGATCAAATCTTGAGTACATTCATATATATGTGTTTCTTAAAAAACTATGTACCTAAGCTTATCGTATACGCAACTTTGTACCCACATTATTTACTTTTTCACCATTTCATTTTTCAGTATGAAAAGAAGTAAATTAACTTTCCGTCTTTTCTTTTTCGCAGGCCGATATACCAGTTTCTGCTTTGGTGGAACCTGTGTTGGCTTTGCCATTAACAGCATCAATACTAACACGAAACACTGCGGCTTACAATTGCCACAAGTCTTGGCATTGTTTGTTTACCTCGCTATTCAGTGGCACGATCTTGTACTCTAACTTGGTTTTGATCGTGGCGGTTGCCATTGACAATACGTTTATATGAATATGTGGAATTTTTTATGCTTCTTTGTTTTGCAAACGATTTAGGAGCATAGTGAAATTTCTTCTTACATATATATGTATGTGTGAATGTTAGTTGTTATACTTACAATAATTTCTAACTCTTGTCATGCTAATTATAAGCTTATTTCGAACCGAAAAAAGTTTTTTTCATTTATCATAAACAAAGCATCAACTAACGGAAAGATCATTTGGAGAAGTAAAATAAGAAAGATCAAGAATAGTTTGAATTCTCTTTTCCTTACTTATACATAGATATACTATAATTTATTTATTTTCTTATGTATATGCGTGTGGTACGTATGTACATACATATGTACTTGACCATTGAATTTTTATGTGGTCGAAAAGGTTTTTCATAAGTAAAGAGTGGTATGCCTTTTCTTACACTTACTCTTCAGGAAAATCGCTGACTGTGCATGAACATGAATAAATTACTCGTTTCAAATATGAATGGAAAAGGCCACGTTTTTCTTGACTTTGTTAAATAACTTTAGAGAATATATGCCTTAATGTTCACATTTTCCATTTATATATGTACATACATATTCAACAAAAACACCCTTAATATAATATAATAATTTATTAAAGCATATTACTTACATACCTTCAAACATATGTATGTATTGTACATATTTTAATGGAATAACAGTATAAACAAGTGTTTCCTTGCGAAAGAGCATATTTACTTACATATTTACGAATGTAAGAATGATTTTACGAATACATTCTCATGATCGTGGTAATGAAGGTAAAGTGATGGTGAACTGCAAAATACACCATCTGTCATAAACAGAAACAAATAAAACTTTGGCTTCAGCTAAAATAACTCGTAGTCACCAACCGTAACGTATCTAACCAATGAATGCGACCGGGATTTATTATGGAACAAAACTAAGATCGTTTTCATATGCTAAAAACTGTTACCGGTAGTGATGGCATCTGATATATTTCTACTTATTTGTGTAGATCGGAGCTTCTGTATGTACGAATGTACAAGTATACTATAAGCACCTTTAAAATCTTTTAAGGTTTCATTCTAGAGAGCACGAATAAAATAACTGTTTTAAAATCCTTATCGTGTACATATAAATGTACCTGCATGTACTGGTTTCCTATTTAATATATATTTTTCACATGCAACGACGCTTACCTCACTTTTGATTTGACCCATGATAATTAACTATTTATTATTGATAGAAACGAATGTATGTTTATAAAAATATTTTTTCTATTCCGATTTGAATTCAAATTAAAAATTCCATTTTACAAAATAAGTAGTATGACTGAATACCGACACTGATTATAAATCCGAACGAAAGTTGGCAACAAACTAAATTCGAATACGTCGAGAAAGCAACCAATTCTTCTACTTCCAAACTTCACGCTCCCCAACATGTAACATAAAAATTACTCTCTAGATCTGCTTGTATAATGGCTCTGAAAACAACTGAACAAATTCACCACACTTGAGTGAAGGCTGCCACTTTAACAGTTAATATTTAATAACCAACTTCTGGTATAAATAGTAAATTAACTTTCGTGGAACTTTGAATTTAAAATTATGAGCATTTAATAGTATTTTACATACATTTATTTGAAATACAAATGTTTGCATTTGCATGTAAATATCCTATTGTTCTTCATGGTTATTGGATATCGTCATGCATTAAGCAAATCCGTAGTATCGATAAATATTGGATTTTAGAATAGGTTGAACTTACCTAAAATCTTTAATAATTTTAAATAACATATACATACATATATGTAGGTATATTTAGAAAATACATTATTATTAAAATGAATTTGAAATAAGTTATGGGAACAGCTCAAATATATACATATGTATATGAAATATGTATAAATCACGTTTGTTTTTATTGAAAAAAAAATTATTTAAGTACTCACCCCAAACTAGTATTCATGAATTAAAACATGAGAATTTGTGATTACGTCTACAATTTATTGCGATTGTAAATCTGCAACTCATATTATTATTATATATTATATTAAAAACTTCATTTTTAAAGATATTAATGCTAATAATTATATTAATTCTGATGAGCTTGCTTAGCTACAATAACATTAGCAGCTTAAATCTGCAAACGTATGTGAATGTAGTGTGTGGGAATTTCAAGCTAGATTTCATTGCTAAGTGCAGCACAAACTTAAATGTAATTATACGCAGTTCATTTTAAAGCCAATATTAATATTTCTTCTTCCAATTATTAACAACTCTCTCAAATTAAAACTGAAATGAAATAAAAAAAGAAATAACTTGGCATATTCTGTACACGCGAATATTATGGATTGGCTTTGCAGTTCGAACTTTTTAATATGCTGTGAAAGAAGAATATAGATACAGATGTTTGAAAGTACAAGACCCTACGCTCAATCTTGTTTTTTGTTTTAATATAATAAGCCTTATTTTTAATCGTATAAAAGTTTAGAGCGCCCTTTTTCTTTTGTTAGTTATGCGCTCATTCAACAAGTTGTTGTTTACATGTTGCATGATACGGTACTTTTACGATTGTGAATTTAGTTTTCGGTAAATTGTCTGCTAGAATAAATTCCACCTTGTCTAACGGTAATATTTCAATTTGTGGAACATCGCTTGGCACTGGCTCCTCCTTTGGCTTTTCCATTTCTTCATCATCTTCATCGTCAGCGGTAGGTGCACCTGGCACTGGCTTCAGTACCGGAATACATTCATCAAAGTGATGTTTCTCTTTTTTAGTTGATTCTTCACACTGATCAACGTACAAAGCAGTGACGCGCAACAGTTCAACCGTTACACCCCACGTAAACACTTTCAATGTCGAAGCTACTTGTTGAACAGCATTCAAAACTATGTGATTCGTGGTCGCTGACTGTGATATATACGTCGGAATGATAAGTAGCTTCCGAAGGTTGGTACAAAGTTGTAATTTTTCATCAAATCCAGCTTTAATGTCGAAGTTGACAAGTTCAAGTTGTGCAAGTTCTTTTAGTTGTACGACGGCGTCTAATATTTCCAGCGTACAACAGCTCGTCTCTTGTCCATTTTCTAGACGTAAGCGGCGGAGATTTTTTAATTTAGGAAGTACAACCTTTGCGAATGTTGAATCAAAGTCACCGCATTCACCTAATTCCAAAGAGTGTAAATTTACAAGTTCACTAAGAACTTCGACACCTTTAGAACCCAACTCGCGTACAGCAGTTAAAGACAACTGATTGAGTTTTTTTAATGATTGTAGTGATTGTAAGTTGCCTGAAATTACGCCTGGTTCACATGTGCGGAGACGCAGCTCTTCAAGTCTTGTTAGCATTCCGAGGTGTTCAAGATTTATAGAATCATCATTAATGGCAACAGCATTTAAAATGCGTAAATTTTTGTTGCTTTGAAATAAACCTTCAACAATACGGGCTGAGCAACGACATAAATCGATAATTTCTAATGAAAAGACAGTTCCAATATGTTCAGAAAATTCTTGCCACATTTCTTCACCGCGTGTGCTAGATACCAACATTTTTCTAAGATCCAAATGTCTTGTTTCCCCTCGGCGTAATGCAGCAGCAAATCCGGCCCAACTACTAACTCTGGAGTTTTTCATGCGAACTGTTTGCCATAAAGATGTATCCTTTGCAGCAAGATTCCACAGTTTACATACTGAAGCTGCACGAGGACGTTCCTATAAGAAATATGTTTAAACTACAATAATTTGAATCCATAATATTTAGGTTCGTTGAGTTATTTCTAAATATATGTACTTACATGAATTTTCAAGTACTTAAGAATGCAAAGTAATGCGTCATAAGCAAAAGATACATTTGCAAAAAAGTTTGTGGCAAAAGCTTTGTTTGATTGATCTGATGTAGTTTGGGTGGGTGAAATAACGAGAGCTTGAATAGGTGCATCTAATGAAACTGTGGATGTTTTACGATTATTTCGGATGCTTTCATTAATTTGTTTCAGATCATTTTCGATATCGTTGACATGTCTGTAATTAAAAGAAAAATTTCAATATTTAATCTAAGCCTAAACTTGAAATTTTAATTATGAAAATATTCGGCTCGCTCTCGCTCTTGTTTTTTTTCTTTTTTGTTCTGAATTTGGGATTGAGGAAAAACTTTTCTTGTGGGACACAATACGTTCGCACACTCACTCAGTTGTGGAAGCAATTGGTTTGGCAACCATCACATACTTTTTTCCTTTTACCACGGCAATTGTTTGAGGATACTTATTTTCAGGACGTGTAGGACGAGCGTTTGATGGCTTTCGTGTCACTACCTTTGTTGATATCTCTGGAACGGATGTGCAAGCCTATAAATTAGGAGAAAAATCAATGAAATTCCCAGAAATATGAGAATGAATATAAAACCGTCACCTCACAAATATATTCACGGCCCTTCGTTTGAGAAATGCCTTCTCCAGCAATACGATATTCACTATTTGAGCGGTTTAATCCAACACACTCATGATGAAATAGACAAAGGCATTTTACACATTTTAGTGGCGGAATAAGTCCAGTTGCTCTTGAACATTTGATTGTGCATGGTTCAAGTGTTGAAATGGATTTGATATTATTTACTGATCCAGCATTTGACTGATATGTTGCAGTCACATTTGTTGTGATAGATCCCCTTAAAACCAGAATTCAAACTTTCTAATGAAAATGGCCAGTCAATTATTTAAAAATGAACAAATGCTACTTAATCCAACCAAAAAATAAGGGTACCATTATTGTTTTTTGTTATACATTTTTGGAGAAATAATGCCCATATAAGTAATTACATACAAAAAACAATAGGTACATAACGAGAGCGAGTAATAAATATGTTCTACTTCAATAAAATAAGTGTTTTACTTACTTCTTTAATTTACTACTTTTATGACTTGTTCCACTACTGGAACTGGCATGCCGGCTACTTGGAGGTGTACCAGGAGTCGAATTTGTGATATATCTACTCGAAGCAGTACCACTGAGTAAAGCATTATTCACTTTAAGCGCTCGCGTTGGAGTCCATCCTTGGGGAGGTGGACTTGCTCCTTTGGGGCCTTTAGGTTTAGAAATTCGTTTACCAATACTAGGTGTTGGTGCTGCAGCGATTGTAGCAGCCGCTGCTGAAACTCGTGAAGACGGCTTTGCACTGCGCACAGTCTCCAAATCCGATCCAACACCAAGAGGCTCTCTAGCAAAACTGAAATGATCTATAGTTAGATCACCCTCTAGTAAAGGCAAAATATCACTCCTTGTTCGCAATTTTTTACCACCAGGTGATATAAAGTACACATCAGCTTTATCTTTACTTGATTCTATATTTGCACGCCAGACTAACTCACGTTTCCAACCATAATCAAAAGGCTTTTTATAAAAATCATTTTGAGCGGACAATGGCTTTTTGCTAACACCTATTCCACTTGGTGTTGCGGAACTTGTTACCGCATTTGTATTTTTCGGAATATGGCTTCCAGTTTCTTCATTATCAGCCACTATATGCTCCGATTGCTCTTCTGGACACTTTTCTTCTTTTTTAAGTTGTTTTTCCTCAAATACCTTTACCAATGACGAGTCTTTCGAAGATACTTTTAATCCCGGTGAAGTTCGTGATGGAGAAGCATTTGAATTCTATGAAAATAAATATTTTTTTAAACAATTTTATTTGATCGTAATAATTTTAAAATTTATTAGTTAAAAACATGTGTAGAAAACTTACTTGCTTCACTTTCTTGTTGCTTTGAGAAATTGTAGTTTGACTTTCTTTATTTTCATGTTCGCCAATCGTAGCTTTCATTAGTGTTTCTAAATCTGCTTTTATAACTTTTGGTTCTCCACTTTGCTCATCAAATCCTAACAAACATTCGTTTGAATCTGAATGGTGTATTTCGTACCGCTTACGTTTGAGTGATATATTAATTGCATTAATTTTCATATCTCTATTTTGAGTATTTAATATTGATTGATGACGTTCTGCGGAGCCACCGTCCCGACTATCTTCATCTTCTGTACCGGATACTTCTAATTTTAATGCCGACTCCGAATAAAGTGAATCATCTTCGTTTTTATCATCGGAATGTATTTCCATATTTTCTTCTGCGGGTTGTGATTCTATCTCAAAAGAATCCCCCACGTTTTCACTTTTCTCAACAGGCTTTGCACCATTACGTTGCTCAATGTGACTGGCTGTACGAGAACCGCCGTTCTCTGCTAACCAGCGTGGAGACTCTGCCCGTTCAGCGTATAGCGTATCTCTTGTCAGGCTAGAGGAATCATCCACTTCCATTCTTATATGTTGAAAACTTTGCTTCCTTTTTGGTGAAATTTTCGCAAGATTTGCTCGAGCAACCGCTTATTAATTCCAAAATTATCTATCTGATACACTTCCTAAAACAAAGGCAAAGGAAGGTGCTGACACTAATGCTATGTTTGACGTTTGCTTTGCCCGCTTTTTCCACAATGATGAGGTTATGTTTTGTTTGCGACGTTACGTTTTTGTTATTCACCTTTCGCTTTTTGTTTTGTAATGGTATCTTTCCAATGTATTATTGTAGTTCAAAAACTTGGATTTCACTAATGAGGGGGTCTGATTTTAAAGAAAACTTATTTTCTTAAATAAATAAAACAATTATGTTGTTATAGTACATTATTTTATAACACAACGCAAAACAAACGGTTTAATCGAATTCTTTATTCTTGTTGTTTTTCTGACGCTTGTCGGAAGTGTTACCAAGTGTGTCAACAAACGAAACGCGAAAACGATGAGAGAAAATACAAAATATAAAATTTTGCATAAATGTAATGAATGAATGAAGAATGTTGCCAGTAAAATATTTTATCTTTAGAATATTTTTTGATATGCATTGTGTATATGTGTATATGAATAGATGTATACTTTTCAGAATTAACTCATATTTACATATGAATCTGTTTGTACCTTTGGTTTAATTCGAAACTCAACAAGATCATTTTTTTTCTTTGAATAGAATAATACAGTGCTGCCAATTCCAATGTCTGTGCTACCAATTTGGTAAAATGCAACCAATCAAATCGCAATTTTTCGTTCGGATGCAATATTTTTATTCGTTCCCGCTCATTTCCTATTCGTATGCTACCAATTGTTTATTTCCTCATCTAAACCTATACTTAATAAAATTTTTGCTTAGGTAATAAATTAAATGTATTATTTTAAAATAGTGCCTTTGGATTATTAACTTATTTGAGTAAACAAGACTTTAACAAACAGCTGACAAGCCTCGAGTGAAAATTTCGTTCCTGGTTGCAGCATTGTAAGTAGTTTTATCTAACCAAGTTTTTTTTTTTACTTCTTTAATCTATTTATCTTTTCTGGTCAGATTACTTTCATTTATATTTATATGAATACATATGTATGCTTTTATCTATTTAGCATTTATGAATGCCAGTATGAAAAGTCTTACTTCGTTCAATAATATTGATATTAGTTTAAATTTATTTAATACACAACCATGGAGGATTTATCTTCTCATTCCACTAACTGAGAATATGAGTTGAGCGCATGTCACAAAACAGAGAGCTACATAATGTGTAGGAGCAACAATTTATGTTCAAATCATGTTACAGTCGTCCTTTTGCCATTTAATAAGATTGTTCGGTGACCGGCGTAATAGTGAAAATGTTAAGATAAGGGTTACTAACGACTTTGCAAATAAAAATAATAAAAATAATCACGTTACTTGCAAGGTGGAACATCGAAAGTGTTTTAAGAGTATAAAGAACTAAGGCTAATCCGATTATTGTTTATTCAAAGATATAAACCATTAGATAATAATACGTATAACCCTACTTACATATGCATATACATATGTGCAATTGTTTTGAAATCGTTATTTTGGTACCGCGAGTATGCCGGTTGATATATACTTGCTTTCTACTTAGTTATAGCATAAAACGAAATACCAAAAGTGCAAGAACATGAATAACTTCATAAAAAATTGGAAATTTACATTCCATTTTTTATTTAACATGAAACGCAAATATCATTTCTAGGTAGTATAGTAGTTTAAAGACTAAATGTTGATAAATGTTCACAACACGGGGGTATATTATTTTCAAGTATAAACTTATGTATATGCATATATGTTGCATGTAACTATGTTACGTGATTGTAGTCTCTAATTTATTTGATTTTATGATATTTAAGCTTTAACTAATTTTCAACATCACCGTCGCTTCAACAACAATCAGTATTACGGATACTTGGTTCCATTACGGAAACTATCTAGTCAATTTCACGGAAATGTGTACATTACATTCTGCAATACCTCCGATATGCATCATATTTGTATTGTCTGCCATCCGTACTGAGAAAATGCACTATCGATGTTTTCACATATCAGCTCTTTTATTGGAATTATTGATTGTGGCTGTATTGCTATTGCAACCGCAATCAGTTTCAGCAGGGTCATGTCGCGAAGCACAGCTTTGCTGCAATGGGCGTGACTCCTCTTGTGTTGTTCAAAAGACACCAATTAATGCAATAATTGACGACTTAAACGAAAAACCATGTTATTGTGACCACGCTTGTCTTAAACTAGGCGACTGTTGTACCGATTTCAAGGATCACTGTGGAGGTAAATTTATTATAAAGTGTGTGGTTAAAAATGAATGAATCAATCGAATAAAACATAATAGATGTAGTTAATATCAATTAGAAAGAATGGATGAGTCGATAAAAATTTAATATATAAAATTAAAATCAAAAAAATATTTATATTCTAACACTCCACAGAGAACAAATACATGAATATATACAAATATATGCATACATTAGGATAATAATTTTTTCTAGGATTATATTGCATTTATATAAAGCGATAACCATTTGGCTTAACACCATATTTTAAAAGAGAAAAGGAAATAAAAAATTTACGTTCAGTTTTAACTAATAATGTTTTTTTCTATAATTCTAACAGATTTCACATGAATTTTATATTACGAATTAGGTAGGGCAAACAACCAATTCAAAATGGTTTAGGCAATGTAGATTGGGGATGGTGGTTGGCAAATTTTGATGTCATTTTTTGTTTCGGTAGAGAATAAGAGAAATGTTATTTTCATATACGTAAGGATATAAGCATAATGCGTATATACGTGTGTCGCACGTGGCTTAAAGTTTGTTGAACATACCACACATATACACCTTCACCAGCTTTCCCCGAAATATATTTAAAATAACACAATACCCACAAAGTTCTGCTTTATATATTGTATATACAGCTATAATGGTATATAAGTATTTATACATATTATATATTACCTTGTGCGTGAGATTGCGATTAGCAGAACAAAAGCACCTTTTAATACACTCCCAACATCAAAGTGGTGCAACGCCGTGAATTAAATTTTTATACATTTAGTCGAAAGTGTTCGCGCTCATTGATCTATTAAATTTATAATCTAATAATAGCTGTATTTTCTGGTTTTAAGATTTATCTTTAAACATTTCGGAAAAGCGGATACAATACTTAACTCGTCATGCTACTGGAATTATAAACGTTTATATAAATGTACATATGTACTACATGCGTATATAATGGATCTTAATATGTTTGTATGTATATTTTTACTTTAAAAAAATTTCTTAGCAGACGGGACGCAAGAAAAGAACTTACATTGAAACACATTTCTACTTTAATGATTTCAAATAAAGCTACAATCGTTGGTCTTCTTATATATACTGGTAGTTGTTTAGTTGAAAGGGTTATCAATGAACTTTAAATAATGGTTTGATACTTTGTAATACAGAGATTTAAAGTACTTTTGATAAGTGTGAATTTATATCGTGTAAATGAAGTCAAATTGCTTAAATCCAAATTTTTCAGTTAATGATCTGCTGAATATTTAAGTGTACTCAGGGTTTTTAATTGTACATCTACCAGGTAGTCACTAGAAAAAAGTCAGTAATTTTTTATTGTGTGTTATCTTAGGTTTGCGTACATACATTTTTTGATCTCTCTCTCCAGAAGCTGGGTTTATCTATACCTAAATACATGCATCACTGTATTGTGCCTGAGTGCATCTATCTACAATTAACTTAAAAATGTATACATGTGTAATTACTATGTTATACTCCTTTACTAGTGTAAATTTAATATAAATATTGCGTTAATAACTGTAATCTTCTCTTTTGTAGTGGTTGACTGCCAGGTGAGTGAGTGGACTCCATGGAGTGTGTGTGATAAGAGTTGCGGTACAGGGGTCATGCTACGCACCCGTAAAATAATTCGGGCACCGCAAAATGGTGGAAAGCATTGTCCAACTCTGACACAAAAGAGAAGCTGTCAAGGTATTCGATGTCACACCGATAGAGGAAAACGAATCTTTCGAGGTAGGTGCAAGTTTATTTTGAAAAAATATGGTTTTGTGTGAATTTTTCTGAATAAAATTATGAATAGTGTAAAAATACGTTAATTGCACAAAAAATATCTATACACATTTTTGCATACACACAAACGATAAATAAGCTCCTCATTGCCTCGTGTCTCAAATATAATTTCACATTTACAATTGGTATTACCGAAAGTAGTCGCGTTGAGGAAAAAAAGCCACACTTTACAAAGAGTGTTCAAAACGAACGCTTGGCAATAATTAAGTAAAAAGCAACTCTTTGCTACCTGCTCCTTAACTTGGTAATTGCACACAAACTCACGAGAGTGCATAAATTAAAGTGTATTTATACATACAAATTATACTCTTGAATGTATTCATAATATGTTAGTACTTAGTAAATTCAACTAGTTATAAACTCCTTTACAACTAGTATAAACCAGAAGAGCAACTAGTCAAATGGTGGTATTTTTTCATACAATCCGTATTTATGCGCTACGAGATGTTTGTATGTATAAATTGGGTCAGAAATATATGCACTGTTTTTATAGTTCAAACTATCGATGGTTATTCGTATTTTCAGGATTAATTTTAATTTACCCCATATTTCAATTTAAAAAACACTCAATTTAGGGCTGACGCTTTTCAGAATAGTGCGATTAGATTCAGAAATTTGAAGATATAAACTGGTTTTATTCCTCACTAGTTGACTGCCCGGTGAGCCAGCG